GGCTTTGCAAATATTATTCAACAAATGTCTTGTCGAAGGAAGAACGCCATCAGAATGGGATAATGCCAATATAATCCTATTACATAAAAAAGGGGACAAAACAAACCTTACCAACTATCGGCCTATTAGTTTACTGAGCCACACATACAAATTATTCACAAAAATCCTCACAAATCGTCTCTCCCTAAAACTAGAACAATATCAACCAAGAGAACAGGCTGGATTTAGATCGAACTTCGGTACAAATGACCATCTGTTGGTGGTGAAGTCCCTAATAGAAAAATGTGTTGAGTATAATAAACCCCTCATTTTAATATTTGTCGACTACGAAAAGGCATTCGACTCTATCGATCAACACAAATTATTCAAGGCCCTAGCCGAATGTCGTATAGACACCCGTTATACTAACCTTTTAAAATATATATACGACCATGCAACAGCATCTGTATCGCTACACGAAAACACAAATAAATTCCGTATTAAAAGAGGAGTACGGCAAGGCGATACAATTTCCCCCAAATTGTTCATAGCACTATTAGAATATATGTTCAAAAGACTAAACTGGGAGGAAATGGGCATTAATGTTAACGGGGAAATGCTCAATAACCTGCGTTTTGCTGATGACTTGGTGCTGATTACAGACAAAATACACGAAGCTCAAAATATGCTAAAAACACTTAAACGGGCGTCAGATCAAATTGGACTACGCATAAATTATTCAAAAACCAAACTAATGACTAATCTTGTTATTAGTGGAAATGTCTCGGTAGACGGAGCAAATATAGAACAAGTATATTCATATAAATATCTGGGGCACGAAATAACAATTGGCCGCGATAACCAGACGCACGAGATACAAAGAAGAGTAGGACTAACATGGGCAGCATTCGGCAAACTAAGATATGTGTTAAAATCAGATCTACCAATGTGCTTAAAGAGGAAGGTGTTCCATCAGTGCGTTATGCCAGTACTTACATATGGCGCAGAGACACTTACACTGACGAAAAAGTCCATAGAAAAAATCCGTGTAGCCCAACGAGCTATGGAAAGAGCAATGCTTGGTGTATCTCTAAGAGACAAGATACCCAGTACAGTTATAAAACAGCGTACACGAATAACAGATGCTATATATCTGCTTAAAAAACTCAAATGGAACTGGGCTGGGCATATTGCAGAAGAACGGATGATAGATGGATCAAGCTAATACTAGAATGGCGGCCAAGACAAGATGCTCTCAGAAACAGAGGCAGACCTCCGACAAGATGGTCAGATGACTTGAAGAGATTTAGGGAAACTGGATCCAAGTGGCACAGGACCGAGAAGAGTGGAAGGATTTGAGGGAGGCCTACGTCCAGCAGTGGACACTTCAGGCTGGTTGATGATGATGATTGATGATTCACTATAGTCGTTGTACACAGTAAAATATGTGGACCTAATTTTAAATGTTACGACTTTTTCTGATCAGCTATAACGGCGCAAGTGCTACCGAAATTTGGTGGAGTCTAGCCTTGCACAAACGTGGACCGCAAAAGAGTGTCATTTACACCCAGCACAGCCATTTGCAAATTAATTATCTTTATGGACAATATAGCTACAGACATGAACCAGTGCTATTAATAACACCAATATAATAATTTTGAACTGTTTTGAATGTAGATAATAGATATTTACGATACAAGTGAGTTAACAGCATCATTAAGATACGCGTGTGAAAGTTGCACGAGTGCGTAGCACGAGTTGTATAACCGCGTAAGTATCTTAATGGAGTTAACTCGCGTGTATGTACAATACTTTATCTACGTCTAACTGTAAAAACACACAAAGAATTTTAAAAATTATTGTACTTAACTATAATGTACCTATCCTAAAAATCAATTACCTTAATACCTTTGTTCAAATAACACCATTAAAAATGAGCGATTCGGAAAGTATTCCCTCTGACATTGAAGAAGAGGCATTCAGAGTCATTTCTGGATTGCTTACATACTCTAAGTATAAAAAATGACAACTATGGAAATGAAAAGTTACTCATAACATATTTTTCCAATGTATCCGCTACTTATAAGCCTTCGTCTCTTTGGGCTTTCTATTCAATGATACGTTCTATGATATCTATTAAAATTAATATACAGGGTGGGCCACTGAAAACTTACAATGGCTATAATTCTTAAACCAAAAAAGATATCAAAAAAATAAAAAATACCGTTTCTATAATATCGAGGGGAATACATGTGACGTATTTTTTGAACCACAGCGACCTACCCCTTAGGCGGCACCCCTACTCACTTGAAAATCTTAAATGACAACACCCCACTTGTGGCACCTTTTTGGAAAGCCCATGAAAAATGCTAAACGATTATCATAAAGTTTTTAAGGTGAAATTGAAAAACTACCCCTTACACGAAAAATTAAGTGGACATTAAGAAAAAAGTTATTTTTTCAGCATAAGTTACAAATTGGGACCCAGCTTAATGAGGCAAATGAGGTATTTTTCAAACCACCCCGACCCGCCCCTAGGTGCCACCCAGGCACCCACCCCACTTCTAATCTCAAGATAGCGATACTCCACTTGTGACACTTCTTTGGAAAGCTAATTGAAATTGCCAAACGATGATCATACAGATTTCAACTTCTGTTTTCTTTCAACAATTACTGGTAAGTAGTGATAAGAAATGTCGGTGTGACAATTTGAAAGAAATTTAAAATGATAATTTATTTTAACAATTGCTCAAAATGACAGCCGTTTTGTTCCATACAAAAATACAAACGATTTTCAAATTTTTTCTCTCACTTTGGAAAGTCTCTCTTGGAATATTTCGACATGCTTCAGTTATCCTCTGCTGCAATTCTTGCAACGAACCTGGTTTTGTCTTGTAGACTATCGATTTAGTGTAACCCCACAAGAAAAAGTCTAAAGGAGTGAGATCAGGTGACTGGCGGCTACTCGATTGGACCCCTTCTGCCAATCCATTGCCTTGGATAATATCTATCCAACCACCGCCTTGTGACAATAGAGTAATGCGGAAGGGCTCCATCTTGCTGAAAGTGTCTGAGGTCTTCATTAAGAGTTAAATTTCCTTCCAAATCTCTTTGATTTTCTACCTCATTTACAATGGCTGGCTCTATCAAATTGTTCACATATTCATATATGTGACATTTTCCACATAAGCATCCAACCAGTCAAATTTCCGTCGATGAAAAATGGACCTATAATTTTATCGCCTAGTATTCCGCACCAAACATTGAGCTTTTGGGGATGTTGAGTGTGTCCTTCAACAACAATATGCGGATTCTCATCGCTCCAGTATCTGCAGTTCTGCTTATTCACAGTTCCGTTTAAAAAAAATGAGCACTCATCACTAAAACAAATATTTTTAGTGAGTGAAGGTTCCGTTCGAATTTTCTCCGTCATTAGTTCACAGAACTGAATCCTTCTATCTGGATCGTCGGCGCCAAGTTCCTGCAGAATCTTCATTTTGTAGGGATGGAATTTGTGCATTTTCAATACTCTCCTGACAGATGTTCGAGGTATACCTGTGATTGATGCCAACTGGCGTGTTGATGCTTCTGGATTGACCGATACCTGACCAATAACTATCATCTGCATTTCTTCATTCAGTACCCTGGGCCCTGTCCTTTTTTATTTTTGACCGACCCAGTTTCTTGAAACTTTAAAATCAAATCTCTAACATAAACGTGACTTACGTTTTTGTCCGGATTTCTCCCATTGAAAGCAGTTCTCAAATAACACATACCTTCAGCACCATAAAGAAAAACTATTTGAATTCTTTCTTCCACAGTATAAACCATTTTTCTTTCAAATAAGCGAATCAAATAAACGTTATTAATATAATACCACCAAATTTGCAAACGATGGAAAATCGATAGAAGACAGTGCAAAAACGCAAAGATATGCCGTTTTAAGATTCCTGTTTGTTGAAAGTCAAAAAATAGATGATAAGGAAGAATTTGCGTTATCGCAAAATTAGGCTGAACAATTAGTAAAACATCTTTCTCTTGCCTTTTTTATTATCTACATTTTTTATTTTTAACTTTAAAATGGTAATGGTTTAAAAATGGCATTGATGAGATTAGAAGTGAGGGGATGGCACCTAGGGGTGGGTCGGGGTGGTTTAAAAAATGCCTCATTTGCCTCATTTAGCTGGGTCCCAATTTGTAACTTATGCTAAAAAACCTTACTTTTTTCATTAATGTCCACCTAATTTTTCGTGTAAGGGATAGTTTTTCAATTTCACCCCAAAAACGTTATGATCATCGTTTAGCATTTTTCATGCACTGTTTGGTTTTTATATGATTCAAAATAAAAAATATATAAATTGTAAAATTAGTAATTTTTTAATGGCCATAATGCGTTCTTTCAAAATCATCGAACAACTCAATCATTTCCATAGATCCAGTGACGTACCGTGACTTTGAATTTTGAGACCAAGAACTGACAAATAATTTGTCAAAAAAATTATATTACAGCTATATGTTTTATTTTGCATAAAAATGTTAACTAATAAGTTAGAATAATTATATTTCTTCCTTAACTAAGTGGTTTTATCTCTAAATTTATCTAAAGCTAAGTACAACACAAATCTTAAATACGTGGACTATTATAACAACAAATACATCGTAAAAGAATTTTTGTAGCATTCTGAACGAGGATTCAAGTTAAACTTTTTAGAAAATAATTTAAAGGAAAAATGAACCTGCTCGCAGATGCTTGTTCCAAGTAAAATCCTAGAGCTCTATGATTTGCTTTTATAAACTCTGGCACATGATGCAGAATTGCATGAATCTTTGGAGTTATCTTAATACCTAAGTTGAGTATTTCCAATCTAAATTGTTTGATGTCATGTTTAAAATGTTTGTTTAGTGCTTGACCAAAACAACTCGAAACTACTTGATTGAATGCAGAAAACACTGTAATATATATATATATATTCCTAAAAAAAAGATGTTTAGGTTTTTGCTTCTAAAAACTTTGAATAGGATTCTTTACCGGGCGATATCGTCTTCAAAATATCCACTTTCTTTAAAAGTTGTCTGGCGTTATTTCCGTTACATTTTCCATAATGGTCTAGTTTCAATCCCGCTTTTTTTATCCATTCTGTTGCAACATTGGTATTCTTCAATTCAAGACAATCAAATAGTTTTTGAACTACACCTAACAAAAGGTGAAGCTCAGGAGGGGGAATATCCTTTAAGACAGGTGTTTCTTCGTCGCCAATGATTAAAGGTATGTTTATACAGTTTTCTAAAAAATAATTGCCCTTTTTTATATGGCTCATTGAACAACAGTTTAAAAAATACAAAAAAAATATTTCAAACAAAAACGCTTACTAAGATCTTTGGCTTTTGTTATATTTCCTCCAGATTGTTGCCTCACTGTTATAAATTTGTATTTTCTGTAATACTTTTTATAGTTCTGAATGATCCTTTAATTTTCATTTCCTTTATACATTTACATCACACCATGGGCAAGTGTGAGTGGATGAATTTGACTGGAAAAAGACCAAGGAAAATCATAATAAGCTTAAAGTCGGCGGCAAAAGTATAGGAACAAATTCTACATATGGACTGCAGATCTAAGGTCTCAAAGAGGCTTTTAATGTTAGCATAAGATTCAGACAACTTTGGTCCTAAGCCAATTATGAATAGTTTATTAATTCCAGCACTTTTATATTTCTTGAAATATTCGGGATCATTTTCAGGGAGCACATTCAGACAAACTTTAAGTGATCCACCACCACTATCTATGCCAATTTTTAGATGAAAATCTTCAGGTAATTCTCTAATTTCCAAAATATATGATAGAAGACCAGATAAATCTGAGCAGTATACAAAAATTAATATTAACTGAATTAACATTTTTCCTTTAAATTGTTTTCTAAAATGTTTTAACTTGAATTCTAGTTCAGAATGCTACCAAAATAGTCTTATACGATGTATTTGTTGTTATAATAGTCCACGTATTTAAGATTTGTGTTGTACTTAGCTTTAGTTAAATTTAGAGGTAAAACCATTTAGTTAGGGAAGAATTATAATTATTCTAACTTATTAGTTAACATTTTTATGCAAAATAAAACATATAGCTGTAATATGATTTTTTTGACAAATTATTGTTTCAGTTTTTGGTCTCAATATTCAAAGTCATGGTACGTCACTGGATCTATGGAAATGATTTAGTTGTTCGATGATTTTGAAAGAAGGCATTATGGCCATTAAAAAATTACTAATTTTACATTTTATATATTTTTTATTTTGAATCATATAAAAACCGAACAGTGCATGCGCTTTCCAAAAAGGCGCCACAAGTGGGGTGTTGCCATTTAAGATTTTCAAGCGAGTAGGGGTGCCGCCTAAGGGGTAGGTCGGGGTGGTTCAAAAAATACGTCATATGTATTCCCCTTCGATATCATAGAAACGGTATTTTTTATTTTTTTTATATCTTTTTTGGTTTAAAAATTATAGCCATTGTAAGTTTTCAGTGGCCCACTCTGTATATGCTTCATAACGCATTTACTTGAAAGATTGTTCAACCTGTATCATTAACATTTATAATAAATAAGCTTCTTAACTCACTGTTATAAGCAGATCTACCTCCTCCAAAGGAAGTGGGAGATCTCCTTCTGCAAGAGGAAAAATCTACAGCTGGTGAAATCTACAGATGCGACGCCAACGGCCACAACGAGACATGGGGAAGCACGGGCACCAACTCCAGAGGTGACTTAATTCTTAATTACTTAATAGGTGAAGGGTTAGTACTTAATAACATAGGCTTCGAACCAACCTTTGTTACCTGTAACAGGAAAGAGGTTTTAGACATTACAGTCAGCTCCAACTATTTGAGCAACAGGATTTTTTTTCTTTAATCTACTGGGTGAGTCTTAAATAAGTGCAAATATTTTCAGGGATTATATATTTCGACTACAAAAACAACTTTATTTTTTTGTAAAAAAGATGTTGAAAATCGTGTATTTTCTTTTAAAATTACCCTGTATATTTTTCGAAAACTTTTTAAAACTGCCTGTTCACCGGAAATTTTCCGACAGTCAAATACTATGGTTACGGCACTAAAAGGGATGCAACATTGCCATTTCCTAAATGACTTATATTTCTAATTATTTATCTGAGAATATGCAATTAACAAATAAAAATTGCTGAAAAGGGATGAAAAGTTCAGAAAAGGTGTGAATTTAATACAAGGTATTTACTTCACACCTTTTCTAAATTGTTCACTTCTTTTTAGCAATTTTGACTTGTTTTTTGTGTTTCAAAAAAATTGCAGTGAAAATCTCAAACCAGAAAATCTGATAAAACATTTTCACTTATGTCATGACAACAATAAATAGGTATAAAATAAATATGCAACTAATTAATTTGTTCTGATTTCAGGACAGTTCGGGAACGACCAGACAAATGCATAATGTATATAATGTTATAGATTTCATAGATACTGTTTTCGTTTTCATCATTAACGTAGGAATTATAGCTAATTACAGAATATATTTTTCTGTTTTTGCTTGTGCAATGTATGTACATACAAAATACTAAGAAGGTTGTTTTATAGGTTATAAATAAATGCTATATAAATTTATACAAAAAATATATGAGCAATAAAACTATACAAAAATAAAAAATAGCGCAAAAACAAAAAGATAAAATTGACGTAATGTTCTAGAATATTCTAAATTTTCTAAGAGTTAGGCACAAATATTTATATCCTTTATCTAACAATAAACGATAATATTTCCAGCCAAGATATTGAAATGACACTTAACTATTATTACAGTTTGTTTTCTATACAGCAAAATATATGTCCCTTATTATAATGTTACTATAATATGTATAATTGATAATACAATAATAATAAAATAAATAAAGTAATAATTTTAATTGCAATTATTGTATAATAATAATTTTATCATTATTTTATGCTATATAAATTTCGGCAAAAATATAAACAGAACAGGAAAATAAAAAAGCGATATAAATGAGTTAATTTTATACAAATTAACAAAGTGTTAATAACAGAAATAATTATATCCTTATCTATCAATGCACAACAATTTTTCCCGCCATGATAAGAAAATGATACTTACCGATTTTTTTTTCAGTATAGTATACAGGGTTGTTCACCACATACGACACGGACTATTGTAGCCACACGATGAGATTTTTACAAATTGTAAGTTTGGGGTTCGTTGAAGGACTATTAGAGCTACAATTTAAAAATATTTTTACAAGATACAGAGTGTCCCAAATAAATAAAAAATATCAAAGTTGTATTTTTTTAAATGGAACACCCTGTATATTATTACATTTTTAGTTTCTACGATTAAAATAAAGGAAATTTGATTAAGGTTTATTATACTTAAACCTTACCGTTTTTGAAATATTTTCAATTTTGTGAAATTGCAGTAAAAATTTTAAGGCTTCATTTCTCCAAGGGTATCAAAGTTTTTAATACTAAATATTTACTGAAGTTTATTTACTGATCAGTTATTGTGTTGCAATAATAAAAATAATACTACCTTATACAGAGTGTCTAAAAATTTATTTTAAATAATTATTAGCTTCAAACGGCAATAACTTCTTTAATTTAAATGGAATGCCCTGTATATTTTAGGATAATCAGATGCACAATTAAATTGTCTATCAAATTGTATTTTACCATTTTTTACCTATCCCTTCAAGTTTTCGTAGAAAACGCATTTTCTTATAATTTAGACCTCATTTATCAATATATCCATGGAATATTGACATTTTAGATTGTTTTTAAAGCAACAAATGTACAAAATGTACAGACTAGTAATATTATCGTTTTTAGCAAAACGATAATATTACTAGCCCATTTGTATGCAAAAAGAAAACTATTTAAATCTTTATAAAAGAGTATACCATTAATTAAATATAACACCATTATTTCCGCCCATATACTAATTAATTACATACTTAATTGTGTTCGTTAATAAATTATTATAAATAAATGTGGATTTGAGTCCGAAATCAATATAATAATAAGTTATCAAATTAAAGTCTCTGTTGTTATAAATAAGCATTTATTAAAAAATGAAATATTATTTTTAAGGTGTTACTTTTTGTCACACTGTCTAATGCCCATACAAAATTCAGTTTTTTAGTATTTGGAGCAATTATTATTAATCAACGCAGTCAGTTAATGTAGTTTGAATACTGGAATCATATTAATTGATCCTCTTTAACAAATATTTAAACAGTTTTTTTTATATTTTTTAATGAAATAAACGAATTATATCGACAATATTAGTATCTGTACTCTTTATAAATTTGGTACATCTTTAAAAATAATCTAAAATGTCAATAGTCCATGGGTATATTGATAAATAAGTTCTAAATTACAAGAAAATGACATTTTCTACGGAAACTTAAAGAGATAGGTAAAAAATGGTATAATATAATTTGATAGACAATTAAATTGTGCATCTGATTCTTGTAAAATATACAGGGTGTTCCATTTAAATTAAACAAGTTATTGCCGTTTGAAGCTAATAATTATTTAAAATAAATTTTTAGACACTCTGTATAAGGTAGTATTATTTTTATTATTGCAACACAATAACTGATCAGTAAATAAACTTCAGTAAATATTTAGTATTAAAAACTTTGATACCCTTGGAGAAATGAAGCCTTAAAATTTTTACTGCAATTTCACAAAATTGAAAATATTTCAAAAACGGTAAGGTTTAAGTATAATAAACCTTAATCAAATTTACCTTTATTTTAATCGTAGAAACTAAAAATGTAATAATATACAGGGTGTTCCATTTAAAAAAATACAACTTTGATATTTTTTACTTATTCGGGACACTCTGTATCTTGTAAAATTATTTTTAAATTGTACCTCTAATAGTCCTTCATCGAACCCAAAACTTACAATTTGTAAAAATCTCATCGTTTAGCTACAATACTCCGTGTCGTATGTGGTGAACAACCCTGTATAGTACTCGTATTTTGTTATTATTTTGTTATAATGTTATTATAATGTTATTGCGTTGTTAGGATAAATATTACACTAATTATATAATTTTTTACCAAAATATGAAAACCAAAACTCTGCCAAAACCAAAATTTACCTACGTCACAATGCAGATTGAGAACAAAAAAACGCTAAACAAGAAAATGATCCGGACCAAATGATCCGGAAAATGATCACAACCAAATCAGTGAGATAGAAGTATATATCCCACCAACTATATGTACATAATTTATTATAACATAATTAGTTGTTTAATAAAACTATATTACTGTAATTCTTATAAACTTTCAAAGAAAACAGAGCCTAACAATATTAAAATATTCAGGTATTAAAAAATCGGACAAAAACGAATAAAAAGTTCTGTTACATCAATGATAAAATTATTCCAGAATATTCCAAAGGAGACAAAAACAACTATATCCTTATCTAGTATTGGACAGAAATATTTCCCGCCAATAAAATGATGTCATACATAATTTCTTCATTTAATATAATACACTAAAAACTTTGATTATAATGATTTTGATATAATATTACCCTAAATGTTATTAATTGTTAGACATTTTTTTTAAATCAGACCACCCTTAGGAACAAGGCAATACTCCGAATTAGCTTAAATGAGTCAGCAATGGTGGTTTCCTTATCTAACAATTGACGGCAATGTTTCCCGCCTAAACATAAAATGACAGTTACTACTGTATTCCAGTAACCTGTGCTAAAATATATAGATACTATAACAGCAATTACAAAAACACCTTAATATTTATCTTTCAGCTAAATATTTCTATTATTTTTTTTAATAACATTAAAGTGTCCAACGGAAATAAATTTAACAAACAGCGCCCCCTACCCCTATAAGTTTTCTATCCATATCAGTGGTAAGTTTTCACGGAGTCAATTAAATCTGGATCTTCGTTTAATCATCCAGTCAGTGTAATAGGAGACACAGGTAAGTAAACATCATCACTCTTAATCAGTTAATATTGCCTCACTTTTCCAAAAGGATTGTGAATAGCCTTGAAATTAAAAAGGGTAGAATAAAAAAAAATACAAATTGCTTTCTTTTTATACTAGATTTGGTAAGAGATGAATTAGTTATCATGGTTATATTATTACTATTATCTAAACTGTGGTTTAATTCTATAACTTCTTTCTGTTTTCCGAAAATTTTTATAGAAAAATTATTTTTTGAATCGAAATTTTATATAGATTATTACTGTCTAACAAATAAAATAAAAAGATTATTCAAAAATATTAATTTTCATTGAAATCTATTTTATCCTATTTGTTTATAAATTTTGATATTTTGTTTATCTAATGCATTTACTAAAATATCTCATCTGTACAAGGACAACTGCACATTCGCTTAGTTATTATAATTTTTCAAATTATAATTTATAGTAATATTTACAGGGTTTATAAGTAATGACAACATTTGAAATTAAAACTTTCATACCTTTGAAATATTAAACAATTTGATGGTAAATATCCAAAATATCACAAACTTGAAAACACAACAAGCACTGATATAACACATCATGAAACTGACTTAATAAGCCGAGTTCATATGTTTTTCCGGAATTATAGATATGATATGAGTAATTCAACAAATTGGATATCAGTATTAAGAGCTGTTTTTATCTAAATCTACTCAATTTTATAAATATTATTATTAAACAGTTGTTTCGTTATTAAATAGTTGGTTTTTCACACAAAACCAGGGTGGCGCACCTCATTCGCCTCGGTTGATTATACGAAAACGGAAAGATCTAGAAACAAAA